CTCTGTATAGAGTCAATAGTGTGTTTCTTTACTTTTGCTTGTATATATGCACACCACCTATCTGATCATACATATACACTGTTTATATAATGTGTTTCTTCTCATCACCCAGAAACAAACAAAAATGCTAGCAAACAGTATGATACATATATTTATAGGTGTCATAGTACACTGACTTACAAGTTTTACTGATTGTTGTTTGCATTTTAAGTCATACCTACCTTACAATTCAGCTGCATATGAAATGTATCAAGACCCCATTAGCTATGTTTGCTGCCTAAATGTTTTCTACCCAACTTGCTGTGCATATATACGTTTATATATAGATATGTATCTATATGCACACACAAATCTTCTGTAAGAAAACTGACCAAGGCTCTGATTATACCAAAGGCGTGAAACTTTACTTTGTAGATTAATATGATGGTACAAGAAGTATTGCAAGGCATGAAGACAGGTCATACAGATAGAATTGCTGTTAGATAACAAACACTATAATATAATATGGTTTAGGTTATTTGTCACATGCAGTTAACATAAACTATACTATACTTTTGCTGCTCAGTATGTACGTAAGTAATTGTATATCTAACGGACGTGTGTGAATGGCATTTTTGAACAAAGGGGGAAAAAGAAGTTAATAGTATTGCTATTAAACCAGATATAAAAAACAGTCTAAAGCTTGCATTTTTGATCACAGAGGCCTCTTAAGTAAGAGGTTTGGAGGTGCTTCTCAGATACGGAATCTTTTAGATGAAATGCCCTATGCCAGAATCAATTGTTTCTGATTTTCTCAAAGAGATTACTAGAATTTTCACGAAAATTTGGTTTCTTAGAAGTTCAGTATGTGTATGTTTAGATAGTTGGCTAAACTGCCCACTTGTATCCTGAGTGAATCTTAAGCTGCATGCTTCAGCATTAGCAATACCTTTGTCTTTGATTTTTGACGCATAATAATAGTCTTGTGCTCCAAAACTTGAAACAGTTGAGCAGTCGTCTGGACAAAGGGCATCACCTGTAATTCTGCTTTAGGAAGGATATTGGTGGTGTAACTGGCCTTTCCACTTTTTAATGTTATTATCTCTGAAGTCCAAGGCCAGTGTGACTTGGCAGCATCTGTAAAGTTTGTGAGCGTTGTCTGTGAGACAGGAGAGAGGGAAAACCCAGGCACAATGCATGCGAGGGAGAAAGGGGAAAAACAGGCTTTTCAATGCAAGTCTGGCATACCAGGATCTGCACCACTGGCAGATAACTGCTCGGGGTATCTAGGGGAGGTGGTGGGGAGTAAGACAATGTGCCCATGGTGTCAAAAAGCCCTTCTGGTTCTTTCCTGAGATGAGCTGTCTCAGATGCTGCAGTGCAGGCAGTGGATGTCACTCCATCCTGGCCACCCTGGCCAGCGGTGAGTGGGAACCATGGAGGGGCCGTGGTGGCAGCCCCCCTTCTGGATGGTGTCGGCTCTCGGGGAGGGTGATTCACACACAGCTTCAGTATTTGCCACTTGCTGGTGTGAAAGGTGCATTTTCTTCCCAAATGCTTATTTTTGTCCTGAAGTTTTATAGCACCTGTGTGCTTGTGCCCAGCTGTGTGTGTCCCTGGGCATGTGTTATCAGTACTCCTGGTGCATGCTGCCTGGCCCCATAGACTCGACAGCAGCTCCCCGTGTTTCTCACCAGGAAGGTCGAGTGGTGACTGCTATTTTCTTAATTGCCCACATTGAACTGATAGGTGAACTTCCAGACACAGCATGGAGGTTGGCATAGCTCTGGCAATCAGGACAAAAAGCAGCTGTCCCCCAGCCCGGAGCTTCAAGGGTAGAGAACTTGCACCAGTATCAGGGGTTTTGTGTGGGGGGTGGGGAGAGGAGGGTTTTTAGGGGGACAGAGAGCTAATGCAAGCCAGGACTTGGAAGCAATTGAACCACTTTCCTACAAGGTCTCCCTGAATACCAGGGCAGTCACTGGGGCTGGTGTCATTGCTGCATGTTTCTCCAGGCTAACCCAGTTCCCACATACCTGTTTACGTACCTCTGCAAGGAAGTGGCAGAAAGTTGCTCTTTATTATTATTTAAATGGAGTTCTTTCTCTGTTCTGGAAGAATCTTTAGCTTGCTTTCCTATGAAAGGAGCCGGAGGAATATTGCAATGGGTGGGTGTGGGTGTGTAGGTTTCTCCCAGGACAAAGCCTCCCTCCTGTATGGGTTCCCACTGGGATTAACCAGGAGGAGCGAGAGCCGAAACATGCCTGCTGGGTGCCCAGATCAGCCTGCCTTCACCGATGTACTGTGAGCCTGTGGGTCAAACTGGAGACAAACCCATGGCAACCTGCACCATGCCAGCCTTGCCTCCTAGCTCATGCAGAAGACAAGATGCAGCTTGACCCATGCTGGGCAGGCAGCTCCATTTCCCCCAAGATGCCTTCACATGAGGCGCTGCTCAGTCCTGGCCAGCAGACTGGCCCTGAGGAGGGTCTGGCATTGCTGTGACCGCCAGCAGTGCTATTTTAGGACATGATGCAGGGCTGGCTGGGCTCAGCCCCCCTTGTTCCCTCTGGGTAGGGATGCAAACCCACCCTCAGCTGGCTCCTGTGGGGATGCCAACCCGATCTCACCTGGACTCTACACCCCCTTGCAGTAGTGGGGGCTGCAGAAAGCACCCATCTTGGTGCCTGCCCTTACCATGCTCCATGTGCTTTTTCCTGCTTGCCTCTTCTCGCTCCTGGGACCATGCCAGATGGTTCTCGCTTTTCGTGCACAGGTCTCTAGTGCAAAGGGGTCCCTTTTTAGCCAGGGCCTGGGAGGGAGTGGGGCTTTCTGCAAGGCCTGCCTGGGAAACGGGAGACTTCTCACATCTATGCAGCTCACAGGGGCAGCCTTGCTGACAAGGTGTTGGGGGCTTGCCCTGATCCTCGCAGGGGTGCGAGGGAGAAGGAGGGTGGAGGGGAGTTACTGCGGTTTTAAATCAGGTCTGCAATAATGGCTTGTTGTGTAAGAGTTCAAGCGCTCAAAGAGGTGTGTTCAAGGACGTGGGTGCATTTGTGCCAAGGGGAATGTCTTTTCTGGTAAATTAACTCCAGTTAAATTGAATATTTATTCAAAGGGAAACTCCAGTATTTAAAGCTGGCGTTATCAGCTTTTTGCAGTGTCTGGGTAAAGGAAAAGATGATAGGATTTGGGGGGTATTCTACACCAGATATGAAAATAAATTTTGCTCATTGTAGTTAACCCCGCGTTTGCCTCATCCCTTCTTGCCCAAGTGTATGCTCGGAACTTGCCACTTAGCACTGTGGTCTGTAGAAGGGAAAACCCGTGGCTGTTCCTCGATACCTGCAAATCGGAGGGAACCGGGCGACTGCAGCCAGAAACCCAGCTGCGGGGTGCGACGTGGATTCTGCAAGGGTTAACGCCGTGGGCTCTTGCCGTTTCCTTTGACATTACCTGTCTTGTACGGGCTCCCTCCTTCCCCCGCCCATCCCCCCCTGCTTCTTTTGGTTTGTAAATTTATGGGAATTGCAGCTGGTAGACTTGGCAAGCTCCCCTCATTAAGAGCCCTCTTTGAAAATGGGCTGTGTTTGAGCATTTCCCTAATGAGGACAGGACGGGGTTAAAAAGTGACCATTTCATGGTTGACTTGAACCTGCCTACTTTCCTTGATGTGTCGTTGTGAAATGCCTGACGTGAATAAACTCTCACTTTGGGCAAGGAGGATGTCAGCGGGTCCCTCCTGTACGCCGCCGGGGGCTGCGCACCGTCACCGGGAGGCAGCGCCGGTGCCGCTCAGCCGCTCCTGCCCGCAGACGGCAACGGCAGTA